ATACCTAATAATAGAAAATATCTAATATATATTTTCAATTCTTTTTTCAACATTTAGTTTTCAAATTATAGTAAATAACCATATTAAAATTTTTATTAACATATTTTATTAATTATTATTTTTTAAATATTGTTTAAAATTTATTATTATTGGTTATTTTTATTATTTATTATTATTTATTTACGTTTTTAATCATTTAAAGTTAGAAAAATAAATATTTTACTGTAATTTAATATGAATAAATTCAAGATAATATTTATATATTTAAATTATTATTTAGAATTTATTTATTTACTTTTTAATTATTATTTTATTTCACCTTTTTTTTAATAATTTAAAATAAACAAATATATTTTTCTGTAATATAATATAAATTAGTAATGTTAGTTAAGGTTTTAGGTCATTAGACCTTTTCAGCTTATATTATGGTGGATTGATATCTAATTTATATGTCTATAAAACTAATATTATAATAATTGAAGGTGAAAAATAACAAAAAAAAGCTTTAAATAAATTAAAAAATGTTTTTATTTTTGATTTTTGATAAAAACAATTTACTGGTTTATATTATTTCATTTTATAACTAAAAATTTTGAAATTTTTTAATCTTTTTTTACTGACTTTTAACATTTTTTTTATAACATTTTTAAAATTTTCTTTGTCATAAATTTAGGCGGTTTAAATTATTTAAAGCTTTTTAAAATACAATATAAATTTTTTTTTATTTGTTGATTTTTTTTTAATGTTCCTGGTGTTATCCTTACTTCACATTTTTCATTAGCAAAAAATATTCTTTCACTTTCAGTGCCAAAAAATGCATTGCCACAATTTTGATTTATTTTTATTATTTTTTTTTTTCTGTATTATTGATTTTATTTTGTAATTGTTTTTTTTTTTGCTTTTCAAATGCTTAAATCAAACAACGAACAGCTTTTCTGGTGTTTGTTTGTTTGCTTGTTTGCTCTTAAGTATCTTCTAAATCACTTGAATATGCACAAACCGCATATCAATCAAAGTCTCATAAATTTGTCAACACGAAAACTTAACTGAACCACATACAAATCACACCAACAACAACAACAGCAACAACAATAAGAAGAACAGTACCACTTGCTACTACAGTCAAAACCAGTAAAACAAAAACAAAACCAAAAAACAATAACAAACATAAGAGCAACGAAATCACACGAAATCGCTATACAAACAACAATAAAGCCAAAAGCAATAAACAGAAAATAAATATCCTTGTGAAAACGCAGCGATCAGCTGTTTTTCATAAATTTTGCAAGTGAAAATACTGCAAAATAATTTAGCAAAAATTCACAAAAAAAAACATAAACAACAAAAAAGAATGTAAGTAATAAATAACAACAAAAAATAATAAAAACACTAATAAGAAAATAAAATAAAATAAATTGTAAGGAATAATGAATGAATAAATAAAAAGAAGGATAAAGTGCAGCATCATCAAGAGCAGCAAATATGCCAACAACAACAACACTAATAATGACAATAACAATGAAAAATAATAACAGCAACAGTAGCAACAAAAATAACATCAATAACAACAACAACAACAGCAACTTAACATCAACAAAGTAATTTTTCATTTTCCTAAACGAAAACCTCCAATAACAAAAACAACAACAATAACAATAAAAACTGCTACTATTATTACAACAGCAACAGTAAGAGCAGCAAAATGTTGGTTGGTTGGTCGGTTTATTGGTAACATTAACAATAAAGGAGCTGCAACAACAGCAACAACAACAGTAGCAGCCAACAGTTGCCAAAACAACGCAGCAACAATAAATGCAATGTGAGCTTAAAATAAAACCAAAAACAAAAACAACAAGAAGAAAAAAGCACAAAACAATAACAACAAAAAAGCGCCCGGCTACGTGAAAAATTGCCTGGGAATATGTGTTAACCGCTTTTTAAACTGCCACGAGGACGACGACGTCGACGCACATAAACGGCAGCCAGCAAGGACGTGACAGAGCAAATTACAGCAGTCAAACCAAACCAAACAAAAAGCAAACCAAAGCAAGTCAAAGTGAGCAGCGTTGTGCGCGAACTCTGGCAGAAGGCAGAGAGTGCACTCTACGTACGAAATAAATTTAACAAAAAAAAAACAAGAAAAAATTAATAAAAAACAAAATATGCAATGCCAAAAACACTCGAAAAATATTTGCGAAAAATGCAAAATGATTTATTGGCAACAAAATTTGTTAGTTAAATTTTGTTTTGGCCAGAAGTGGAAAAAAAAACATGAAAACAAAAACAAAATACACTACTGACCAGGTGCACATGGCGCCGTTGGCACAGAAGGACATCAACGCTGGATGAAATGTTAAATGCTATGAAAACAGCTGTTGCAGGATTTTTGTAGCAATTGTTGTTAAAAATAAAAGTAACAAATTAACAAACAAAAAAATGATTTCCCAACATTTTTTTTTTTGAAACAAAAACAAAAATCAGTTGTCATGACAGTAGAAAATGGTGGTGTGGAGGTGGGTGGGAAGATCAGCGAACTGTGGCAATTTAATGCACACAATGGCAAAAATTGCAAAAATTTAAAAATTTTGAAGGCGTTACCTTTAAGTTACAACAACAAAAACAACAACAACAAAATAATAAAAAAAACTGCAAAAAAATGAGTTGCAATGCGCAATGAAAATTAAGAAAAATGAGTGAAAAGCAAACAAAACAACAAAAAAAAAATCACAAAACAACAAACACTGAAAAGAGCACCGCTTTGACTGACAACAACGACAGCAGCGAGCAAAACAACGTTTCTAGACAAGACCAAGTTTAGACACACGAAACTTTGAGTTAAAAATGAAGACGAAGACGTACACGTAAACGTTAACGTCGACGTTGTATTTGACTTTTGCTCAAATGCATAAAACTCAGTGTGAAAAGCTCAAAAGGAAATGTGAGCCTTGCTTGCGCCGCCAAAATAAACTGCAAATACGTCACAGTCATATATAAAATCAAATGCAAAAGTCTATACCGATCGCTAACAAATATTTTCGCACATGTAAAGCCAACAACAAAAATACATACAAACATACAAAAAAACATTTTTAACAAATATGTTTCAAAATTGCAAAAGCAATACCAATAGCAATAGCAATAGCAATAACAATAACAACAAACCACTAAAGTTCACTTAACAAAATCAACATGGTTACCCCCTTAAAAACTCAAACCCTATAATAACATTAACAACAACAACAACAATACTAACTGTATAGTACCAAACCAACACAAATTGTTAAGTGTATGCATAAGTGGGGTTGTATAATATACAATATGTCTGTCCGCTCATCAAAAGCCTCAAGTAGGTACGACGAGTACGTTTATAGCCAACAACGTAGCATTCATCGTTGTCGTCGTAGTCGTCGTCGTCGGCGTAGTAGCACATTGTTACACCTGAATTTCACAAACACTCATGCATTTACACATTATACCTATAAACCTAACCAAACAAAAACAACAACAGCAACAACAATACCAACAGTGGTTAAATTGCTGTGAGCCCCAAACCCACCCACCGTTGTTGTAGTTATTGCAAAAGCCTGTAAACCAAACTGATGCAAACTGCCACTCACTCAAGCGAAAATAACAAATGGGATTGGTTTTTGCTGATTTTCAACGCGCGCAAAAAAAAAATAAGCTCCTCTGTGTGTGCCTGTGTGTGCAATGTGTGTGTTTGTCAGTGAAATCAACAGCAACAGCAACTGCAACAACAACAATAACGTAGCATTATTGCTATAACACAAACTATAAGCCATCTCATTTCAGCAAAAGCCAAATAAATTTCAAATGTAGCCAGCCAACTCGGCTCACTCGGTCGTCGTGTTTGGTTAAGTAGTAAGAAAGCTTGTATGATATTGTATTTTGCACAAAAACAAAAACAAAAACAAAATCACTAAAAACAAAACACAAAATACAAAATATCAAAAAAAAAATTGCAAGAGTACAAAGATATATAAGAACAACAACAACAACAGCAAGATATGAAAATAACAAACATATTTCGTATTTCGCTCACACAAGCGCAGCAGTAGTTAATATTATTTTACCTCAATTGCGCGCAATGTACGACGTACCTAAAATACAAGTGAGCAAAAATTTTATAACACAAGTCATATACCGGCAGAGCAAAACATTCACTGCAAAAGCAAAAGCAGAAGCTGAAGCAGCACCAGCAGCAAACGCAACAGCAACAGCAACGGCAACAGCAACGATATTAACAGCAATAACGTAAAGCAAATGTATGGCAAAGTATGGTTAAGACAAAGTTATGCAAAAATACTTTTTTTTTGGCTTTATTTTATTTGTTGTTAACAGCAGGGGGACATGGTGTATGCTGCTGCGTAGTGACAAGTGTGTGCATGACAGAAGAGGCGTACTAACAAATCAGTCATTCCTTCTTTTTACACACTGACAACAAAAGCACAGCCAAGTACACAGCTCATAGCACTGAAATACACAACAGAGCGTACAAAGTATTATACGGAGCAGTGCAAATACAATTTTTGCTGCAATAACAAAGCCAACAGCAAAGAGTAAATTTTTTCAGATTTTGCTCAGGAGCACAGCCATTTTATTGAATGGAATTTGCCTTTTCAAGAGCAAAAATTTTAAAAGAGTTGTGTTTTGTATTATTTAACATACTCAGTTATTTCAGTTATGCATTAATTCGCCGCAAGCATTCACAAGTAATATAATGTAGTGTGTATGAAGAAAATATGCGCCTTCTGTTAATTTTGAGTACTGAGCGAGAAGAAATTTATAAAATACGCACGCACACACATTTAACATGAAAAATAAAACAAACCAACAATATATTATACTATAATAATGCTATTTCATTTGCACGCTCACATGACAAGTTAATGGCACAATTGTTGCTCTTTCTACCTAGTGCGCCTGTAAATTTCTTATTACTTTTTGTTGCTGTTGCTTTTGCTTTTGCTATGCATGTAGGTATTTTACTTTTTTTTTGGTTTTTTATTTGCTTTTCATGGCATTTGATTTGTGTGTGCGCGCTTTTGTGCTAACAAAACACATGCAATTACAAGAACAACAAACGCACACATTCGTTGGCTTGTTTGTGTGTGTTGTGCTATTATTTACCCCCGCCAAGTTTAGTTTTCGAATTGATTGACAAGCCCAGTGTGTATTTGCCTTCGAAACGCGTACGACGTGTTGTGTTGTGTAGAGAAAGAAAATAAACGCAATATTTTCACAATAATTTTTTATTCAAAAACCAATAATAACAACTAATAAAAAATTATTTTCTACCTAAGTAATTATTCAATAAAAAAAAATAAATAAAAAACGTACACCGTCGTTAAAATATAAATAGTAATTATTTTTGTTTTTATTATATAAGAAATTAATAAAAAAAAGGAATTGTTTTTATTCATTAAAAAATACCTTTGGAAACATTTAAAATACTTCGTCGCCATGTACTGACTTTTTAGTAGTGTAACATTTTTTCATATTTTACGTGCATTGTTATTGTTGCTGATCGTAGTAGTAGTCGCCGTCAGCCGTGAGCCGCAGCAGCAGCAGCAGAGTTGGCGGTAGCAGCAACAACAGCAAGCCGCAGCAGCAGCAGCAGATTCATCATCATCAAAATCGTAGTCAACAACATTTTGATTGCAACGAAATTTCATTTCCAATTCGTAAGCGTGTGCGGAAAATACGTTACGTGGAAAATTTCGGCAAAATCGCAATAAACCAACAAAATCGCTGTAAACAAAAAGTTTTACGAATTTTACGTTTTCTTGCAAAAAGCCGCCGTTAGCGGCGATTTTGTGAAAATAAAATAAATAAATAAATATAAATATTTTTTCGTTAATAAAAAAAGCAAAGAATAAAATAAATTTTACAATATAAAATTTAAATTAATTTTGTTGCAATTTTTTTTTATAAGAATTTTATTTTACGCGGGCTGCTGTTACAATTTAATAATTTCTTGTCTGTCTGTCAACTTTCATTTGATTAATTGCATTGCTGCCGCTTTAAAATTTTAGACAGCCATAAATTTGCCGCAGCATTATAATTTAAATAAAAGAACAGCAAGAAGAAGAAGAACACATCATATTTCTACAACTGAAACAATAACAAATCATAAATCACGGCGAGAAAAAAATAAATGTGAATAAAAATTTTTTTTTGTTGCAAAAACTTTAAAACGGTAAACTTTAAAACGTTTCACGGCAAATTCAACTGCAAGCTTTGACTTGCACTTAAGCCTCAGCCACAATTGAACTATTTATTCTCTGTCAAAGCCAAAAATTATTGTCAAATTGAAGCCTCCACAGTACGCAACTGAAACGCGTCGGTAATTGAACGGTGCGCGGCGTGTCGTGTTATTTTCGGTTATTTCTTCTATTTTTCAATAATTGAATTGCAAAAATTGCAAACATTTTCTCATTTATTAAATATTCTATACTTAGAAAAAAATAAAAAAAAAGCTTAAAAGAAAATCACTCCTTTTCCATAGTAAAGAAGAAGCTCAAGCTGCAGCAAAAGCAAAAGCAGAAGAAGATGAATTATTAGTAGTAGTAGAAGCTGTGATATTTGAAAGCATATTTCAAGCAACTTTTGTATACGAGTAACAAATGCAACAAAAACAACAACAATTGAAACTACAACAACTGCAACTACAACAACACATACAATTGAAATGCAATTGGCATCATAAAGTCAATGCTAAAATCTTAGCCAATTAAAAGAAAGAAAATGGATTTATGACAGCTGCTGAAGGAGTTAAGCAACAACAACTAACAAACAAACAAACAAACAAAAAACAAAAACAAAAAGAAAATAGTAGCAGCTAAGCAAGTAACAGAGAACAGAGAAGAAACCCCACAAAAAAGCAGCAGCAGCAGCAGCTCTAACTGAAACTATAGCAGTAACGGTTTACCAGAAACAATAACAATTTACATACGATTGTATACGATTTTCAAAAACAACTACAAAAACAACAACAACAAACACATATAAAAACTAAAATCTAATTAAAAAAGGAAAATAAAGAATTAACAAAAAACAACAACAAAAAAGATCTCCTTACTCTTAATCATTTTAAATGTAATGTAAAAAAAAAAAAAGAAACACCTTAAGAAATTAGTTAAAAAAAGCAAATAAGAACAACTCAAACGCGTCGCGGTAACGGTTATGAAAAATAATATGTAAAAAATTAAAAAAGAAAAAGTTTAAATATATATAATACATATAATATATATATGAAAGTTATATACATAGAATCTAAAACAAATGTGCCTGTGTTAATGTAAAGAAAGCAAAAGAAACCAACCAATGCAAATTATGCACTAAGAATATTTCTTTCAATAAAACAAAACAAAATTTTCAAGCAAAAAAAAAAAAATTATTTAAGCAAAAGCAAATATTATTTAAAACAAAAAAGAAATATAATAAAATCACTTAAACAAAAACCAAAATTGTGCAAATTTGCTTGTAAAATTTTACTAAGTCCAAGCAAATAATTTGTTATAAATTTTGCACAACGGAAACGTCCTGGCAGAGGAGCAGCGGCTGGAGGAGTCTCAGCTAAAACCCGCAACGTAAGGCAGCGGCAAATTAATTTTGATTGAGTTTCTGTGCTTACAAAAGTGGCACAAGTCGGGTTGGACGTCGTTCCTCGAGCATTAATGGCTCAACCTAGGGTAAGTAAAATTAAAAATTTTTTTTAAATTTAATTAATTATTATTTTAAGTGTTCAAATAGTAAAAGAAATTAATTAAGACTGCAGTTGAAAATGTGTGCAAAAAGTGTGGAAATTATAGTTTATGTAGTTTAGGATGAATTTTAGGAGTCGAAATTTAGCGACGGCAACTTTGAAAAATCTATTAAAAGTGTTAAAATGTTAATTATTTTTGATTATTATTATTTGCTATTTTTTTCTTTATTTTGAGTAAATATTTTATTAAATTTATTATAATTTAATAATATTAAAAATACTAAAAGTGTTAGAATAGACACTACTTTTTGGAGAAGTTAGTCTAAAATGGTTTTAAAGTATGTATTAATGACTTAAGAAAAGATTTTATTTATTTTGTTATTATTTTTATTATTATTATTATAATTATTATTATAATTATTATTATAATTATTATTATAATTATTATTATTATTAAAAATACTCAAAGCATTAGAATGTTAGAACTATTTTCTGCAAGCGATAATATAAATCGTTTGTAATGTATTCTTCAGTGATCTATTTCTTAGTGACTTAAGAATATATTTTGATAAGAATGTTAGAACTATTTTCTGCAAGAGATATTATAAATCGTTCTTAATGTATTCTTCCTTGATCTATTTTTTAGTGACTTAAGAAAATATTTTAATAATAATGTTAGAACTATTTTCTGTAAGAGATATCATGAATCGTTCTTAATGTCTTTTTTAGTGATTTGAGAAAATATTTCATTATAATTTTACAATATTAAAAATAATTTAATATATAAAACAACACTTTATAAGTGCTTTCTTAGTACTACAAGTCCATTTAATAGGCCTAAATAATCACTGCTAGAGAATATAACAATATCAGAACAAAAACTAATGATTGTTCTTCATTTGATCTGCGATGTTGTAACTCCTTTGATACTTTAAATATAGAAAAATCGAAAAATTATTTTATTCAAAAATAAATCCATACATGAACTTAACTTCATTGTTCACTTCTAAAGTTTTTCTTATAGTCTCACACGTAGACTTTAACACAGCCATAGATTTTTGCAATATATGTTCTAATAATTCCTTTAAAAAAATTTTTAAAAATCTAATAAAACTCATTTTAAAAACTTTTAAGTAAATTAGTGGATCAGTAGATTTAAATGCGGTGTATGATAAAGTACCGCAGTATATATAAAAAATATAATTTATAATAAAATGTAATATATGATATGATATTTAAAAATATCATAAAAATATATAGAGAAGTGTTTGTTATTAAATCTAGTATTTTCCAAATTTTTGTTTACCAAAAAGTTTGTAAAAATCTTAAAATCTCAATTTCTAAAACATTTTGGTTTATTAAAATATCATTGCCGTTAAACATAAAAATATATAGTATCAAAGGATATTATAGAAATTTATAAAAAATTTTTTAATTAAGTAAATCAGTTAGTTAACAAAATTTTAATAATTAGTAATTATTAATAGTCATTATTAATCCAAATGTTGACTTTCAGAAAATTTAATATAAACCAATTCTTATATTTCTTATAAATATAATATCTATTATATTTGCAAGAATATTTTTTAATATCTTATTTTTATCTGATTTTACCACATATGAAACCTATTCAGAAGCAATGATATATTCTTTTGAGTTTTTCAACCAGAATATCTATGGAAATTTAGTTAAACATATAAGAAATCCAACAGGCCTATTGCAGTCGATATTCAACGGGTTTAATTATTTGCATTCACAGTTATGACAATCTAATATATATCTCCTAAGATTTAGTTTATTATTATTTTTTTTTATGTATTTTAGATTTGTATTCTTATAAATATATGTTTGTGGATAAATGTTATTTTGAGAGGTCTAGGTCTTTTGGAAAGTATAAGTATTTTTTCTGAAATATTTATTAAAATAATATATATTTTTAATTTAACTATTTTAATATCAGTTATGACAATCTGATATATATCTCCTAAGATTTAGTTTATTTTCTTTTTTATATATTTTAGATTTGTATTCTTATATATATATGTTTATCGATAAATGTTTTTTTGAAAGGTCTAGACCGTTTGAAAAGTATAAGTATTTTTTCTGAAATATTTATGCAAATAATATATATTTTTAATACAACTATTAAAATATTAGAAAATTAACGATTTTAAGTAAATATCGTATTTACCCAAAATATTATATCTTAAAATAGTGTTTTGATCGAAAATTCTGTGAAAAGTGGTAGTTGTGATTAAGTGATCTAAAGGAATATTTTCCAATAAACTAATTTAAGATTTTTTCAAAATAAGTTATTAAATCTAAATTACTTTCAACAGAAAAATGTGTTTTCTTCATATATCTGAGGTTAAAATCTATTAAAATTATTTCTTTGTGCAGATTTTTATATTTACCTTAAAATTTTTAACTAAATTCTGAAAGGTTAAAAAAATTGTTCCAATATAGGAACAGATAAGAAGCAGTGTAGTCCAGCTCCCTTGAATAATAAATCCCTGAAAATTAAGTAGAGATTAATTTTTTATGAAATGTAGAATGTTGGATCTGATAGGACACTATACATACAGATTCCTTATAATAGGTTAGCAATACTATCTATATGAATTAAAAAAAAACATATGTCTTTATGAATTCTAAAACCTTGGTTCCGATTGTGTTCGGTTTGAAATTAATCGTTTCAATAACAATGTATAAATATCTAACAATAAAATATATTAAACATTTATTTTGAAAAATAAATTATATGAGTATTGTCACCAATATTTTAACTCTAATCTATAATCATCTTCAGTCTAGAAACGTAATATTGACAAATTAGCCCGTTGAAAAATATATAAATAATATTTGGCTATTAAAACAATACAAAATAAAATAATTCATATAATTTATTTGAATTACTTTATGTTATAAACTTTAATCTATGATGGTTTATGCATAACTAAAAATGATTACAAAATTTTTTTGTACTAAATTCATACTAAATTCTTGTTAAAAAAATAAACCACATGTTCTTATATGTGCTAAATTCTTATTATAGAAAAATTTCTTTAAAATTGTTATTTATATATTAATTATTAATTGACTATGCACAATGCATAATAAATGAAGTCATTTCTCTTTCAAACTGATAAAGTTACTAGAAATATATATTTTTTTTTAATATAAAAAAATTTTACATATTAATTTATAATTAAATTAGCAAAAATTTTAAACTCAAAAATATTTCTAGTTAACAAAAAATATTTGCAGTCGTCAAAAAAACTTTTCCAATCAAAAACGTTTACTAAAACATTTTTTCGTTTTAGTAAAAATTGTTAATGAAAATGTATGATTAATAATAAAATATTTTTGTTTATTTTTTTTATTAGTTGTATGTTAATTTCTTATAAGCGTTTGAGCTAGTTTAAATATTTTAAACCAACTTCGACTTTGACGTTGGTGTCTTCTAAGTCCTTTAACTAAAAAATTAGCACCTATTTTAAAACCAATAAAAAATGTTGTTAAATGTTTATTAAACATACAATAAGTGGAGATTCAAATACTAATAGACTTTAATATTTTAAACAAATATAAGAAAAAAAATAAAAAAAATTAAATTAACCGATTTTATATAAAAAAAAATTGTATTCTTCGAGTTTATGTAAGAAAAAAATTTTATTACAGAAAATCAATGATAAAAAAAAATTATGATGAATATTTTAACTTATTTGATAATTAAGTTAGTTATGTTTAATTTTAATAAAGTTTTAGTAAATTTTCAAGGCAAATGTGAGCTCCTCAATATTGACTTTGTTCATTTGAACTTACGTTTTAATTTATTTTAGTCATGCTCTAATTTATAAATTAATAAATTAAATTTTAATGTTAGTTCTATTTTGTTGATTCCGTTATTATTGTTAAAAATAGTTTTATAAATCATATTGATCTTGAAATATGCTTACGCCTCTACGTTCTACTATCAAATTTTTCATAAGAAACCTATAGAGATAAAAACTAGATCCATTAAAATTTAAGTAATAAAATCTTTCGTCCTTACCGAAGAAGAGTCCGACAAATTATTAAAGAAGCACTTCTTTGAAATATTCTAAACTTTTACTATTTCTTTTTGTTCGCCGTAGACAGTATTAACTGGTACTACCAAATTTAGGATAGAATTCTAAATAGATAAAAGAGCTATTACTATTTTATGGTATTTAAATAATAAAATTAATATTTTCTATCGACTAACAGTCCGATAAGCTGTAAGAAAGAGACTTTTTCAGAATGTTTTTAACCTTTAACTATTCATATTCACATTTCACGTCAGAAATCTAAAGAAATAAAAACTAGATCCTTCTTATTGAATTTTAGTTATAGTAGATCGTTCGTTCCTTAAAGAGGCATTTTCTTGAAATAATTTCTATTCATGATATCCTTTCTGTTCTTCCACTTAGGAGAGACTGCTCCATGTAACCTTATATGATGCTGGGTTAGTCTTCCTTCATTTTTAGAATATTAGAGAGTTATTTTTATTTGGTTTTTTTATGATATTATTATAAATTGTTAGAGTTTTTATAAATTAATCTAATCGAAATGAATAATTTTTATAGTATCTATAGAACAGTGTTATCTACGCATATGATATGTAGCTCTTATTATATGAATAAATAAACTGGTAATAATCATAAGGATTCCAATATTCCTTTTGGACGGTTGAGCTAACAATATTGATGATTATTTAAAAATTTTTAATATAAGAAACTCCTTAAAATTCCATATAATTTTATATGTCATAACGCACCCAGCAATGACTCAATTTATTAGAGTTTTGGCTTCATGATGATTAGCTGCTTTAGTTTTTATTTAGCAAAATATTTTTATATTTATTTTTTATTCAATAAATTCTGAGTAAAATTATTTTAAGTTTATGACACAACAAAACGTCTGAAAAAAGAATTTTTAACACTGAAGATGCAATACTGAATTACT